AAGCTTAATCTCATCTTACTGTGGGTGTATTGGAAAGTCATTGGAGAGTTTTGAGCAGGGACAGTGAGTGACCTGATCTGATTTCCTTATAAAACGTGGCAGTGTTTAACTTGGGGGTTTAAGAATGGGAGCCCAGTTAGGAGGCTCTAACAGTGGTTCCTGTGAGAGATAATGGTGATCTGGGTAGAATGGCGGGAGTAGAGGTGACCAGAAGTGGCCAGAGGAAAGAGAGAGAGACTTTGGAGATGGGGCTGGTAGGACTCATTGATGGATTCGATGTGAGGTTGCAAGTTTTTTATTTTTTGTCGGTAATGAGGTTGATGACTGATGGTGCTGTTTAATAAGTGGGGGTGGGGATACTGCAGTTTGAGAAGCCATGTTCTTCTACTCAGGTGCATGTGTAAAGTGTCAGGCTGAGATGGAGATTGTATGCAGGAACATGGTTATAATAATGGGCAGATGAGATTTCAGGACAAAGAGAGAAGCAAGGCCACAATAAGAGGTGGCGGACAGTGAAAAAAGGTAAGACTAATGTATTGGCAGCTCCAACTGAGATGAAGAAATTGTTGGAGTGGAAATTCTAGAGTTAATGATCTAGAAGGATGGGAAGTGGTAGGCAGGGGATGGGATATTTGAGACGAAGATTTTGGAGGCAGTATAGCTTTGTATAATGATGAGATCTGGGATATAACCAGGGGAGTGGGTGGCAAGGAGGGGTAAAAAGAAAAAAATCAATGGAATGGAATGAATGGATCAACATGGATCAAGATGCCATGGGTGTTGTTTGTGTTGCAGAACAAGATTGTGGACCAGTGTGAGAGACTGCAGTTACAGAGTGCTGGCATCACCAAGTACATGGCTGAGGTCCTACCAGGGAAGAACCAGAGAGCAGTGGTAGGTAATTCCTCCCTTTCCCCCTCTACTCTGGGCCGTCTCCTAGGATCATACCCCAGCCTTAGGGGCTTGACCCAGTCTAGGTACCTTCCTGACCTCACTGACTCATTGTGCTATAGCACAAAGCTGGATGCCCAGGAAGGATGGTTTTTTTCTCTCTCTGAGCCTTGGTTTTACCATCTGGGCAGAGTTGCACACTAGTGCAAAGACTGTTTTCAGGGTAAGGGATCAGGAAGGGTAGCATTTTTCTAACATCTAATTATTTTGTGCGCAGCCCCAGAATGATCAAATAACCTAGGGGCTTGTATGTTGAATATTCTTTATCATAGTCCTATGCAGTAGGTGGCAGTAACATCCCTGTTTACAGGTGGTTAATTGACTTGACCAAGGTCCCACATCCTCCTGCCAGAGTCAGTTCTATGACCTGGATCTTCTGACTCTGCAGCCAGTGCTCCTTCTGCTGCATCACACTGCTGATCCTTGTGACTCATGGCCACACCTACATCTCTCAAGTATGCTTTTCAAGGGCAGGGGCTATGAATTTCTTCCTGCCTCTTATTCCCCCATAGTAGTACATGAGAATGGACCATTGGATTTAGTAACATGCACAGTATTGAAGATCCTGACAAGAGGAATTTTGTAGAGTGGTGGGGTGAAAGCCTGATTGGAGTGGGTTTCAGAGAGTAATTTGGGATAGTTAACACAGGTAACTCTTGAGCTATGCTGTAGAAGAGAGCTGACAAATTGGATGATACTGGAGAGAGATAAGAGATCAATGCAGTTTTTTGTTTATTTTCTCTTTAAGATGGGAGAAGTTACTTTATGTGTGTATGCTGATGGGAATTTTCCAGTAGAAAGGGGAAAATTAATGATGCAGGAGGAAGAGGAAAATTGGGTACAGCAAAGGGGGGTGGGATCTAGTAAACAAGTGGAAAGGTTGGTTGTATGTAAAAGCATGGGCAATTCATCCACAGAAACAGAGAAGGCGGAGTGAGCACAGGTGCAGGTGGATGGTTAGGTGATGGGCAGACCTTGTGGAAGTTCTCTTCTGATTGCTTCTATTTTCCATTACTTATCACCTTTCCTGTAGGCTCTTAAGGATGCCATTTGTCAGTTTATAGATATGTTTTGTTCTCCATCATCTGTTTATATGGTAATACATTAATAGAATTTATAATGCTAAGCCATCCTTGAATTCCTGGGGAAAACCAACTTAACTTGGTCATAATATATATATTTTTTAACTTTTAATTTTGAGATCACTATAGATTCACATACAATGTTAACATCTTTCCTAACTATGGTAGACTATCATAACCTGGAAATTGACATTAATACAGCTCAACCTTTCAGATTTTACCAGTTTTACCCCAATTCATTTCTGTGTGTGACTTTAATTCTATGCAGTTGTATCATATGTATAGATTTGTGTGACTTCCACCACAATTGAGGTACAGAATAGTTCCATCATAAGGATCCCTTAGTATAGCTTTCTAAAAAGCATTTTTACATCTATGCTCAGGAGTGAGACTAGCCTATGAGTTTCATTTCTTATATAGTCCTTATCAGATTTTGTTATTGAGATTATATAATCCTTATTCAGTGGGTTGTGGAACAGAACTCTATTTTCACTGGAGGAGTTTGTAGAAGATTAGAATTATCTGTGCCTTGAATGTTTGGTGACATCCTCTGTAAAACTATCAGGGCCTGGTGGTATTTTGTTGGTAGATTTTTAACTACTGATTCATTTTCCATCATAATGATAGGATTTTTCCTGTTCTGTTTTCTTTTTCTTTGATTTTAGTAAATTCTTTCTGGAAAAATTATCCACTTTCTCTGTTGTTGAATTTAAATGCATAAAATTGTTGTTAATATTGATAAACTTGTCACACGTTTGTCTATCACGTTAGTCTTCAAAGAACCAACTTTGAGTATTTTAATTCTCTCTTTTATATCTTTTAAAAAAATATTATATCGCCCAGCTGGCGTGGCTCAGTGGTTGAGGGTCGACCTATAAACCAAGGGGGTCAGTGTTCGATTCCCAGTCAAGGCACATGCCCAGATTTCTGGCTCAATCCTCAGTAGCGGGTGTGCAGGAAACAGCTGATCAATGATTATCTCTCATCATTGATGTTTCTGTCTCTCTCTCCCTCTCCCTTCCTTTTTGAAATCAATACAAATATATAAAAAATAAAAATATTATATCCTTCTATCTTTATAATTTTTCTATTTACTGGTATTTATTTATTTATTTTAAAATATATTTTTATTGATTTCAGAGCAGATAGGGAGAGAGAGATAGAAACATCAATGGTGAGAAAAATGTCCCCCACTGGGGATTGAGCCCACAACCGAGCATGTGCCCTGACCAGGAATCAAACCGTGACCTCCTGGTTCATAGGTCGATGGTCAACCTCTGAGCCATACCGGCCAGGCTATAATTTTTTTCTTTTAATTTGCTTTTTTACATACTTTGTTTTTTTAACTTACTGAGTTGAACAGTCTGTCATTTTTGTTTTTCTTATTTCTCAAGGTGAACATTTAAACCATATAGTACCTTTTAGGTGTTGATATAGGTACATCCCACAAACTTGATGTTGTACTTGCATTCAGTTACAAGTATTTTTAAATTTCCACGATGATTTGTTCTTTCACTATGAGTTATTAGAAATAGGTTTTTAAATATCCAAGTATATGGTTTTATTCTTTAAATTATCATCATTTTAATTTCTAATTTAACTGCATTGTAATCTGTATGACATCAATTGTTTGAAGTTTGTTGGGACTTGCTTCATGCCCTAAAACATTATCAATTTAGGTGAGCATTTCATATTCACTTGAAAAAATATATAGGGTTTTATATGTGTCTACTAATTAAGCTTATTAATTGGATCAAATCTTCTTTCTACTTAACTAATTTTTTATCTGTCAGATTTATTGATTACTGACAAAAGGCATTTATTTACATTTTCATATCATGCTGTGGACTTGTCTAGTTTTCTTTATGATTCTGTCAACTATTCTTTTTATGTTGGTGCTATTTATGAAATGTATATTTATGAAATATATATATATATATATACATGTATATATATATATATATTTAGATTGGTTATATATTCTTGGTAAACCATTCCTTTATCACTTTATAGTGACCTTGTATGCCCTTGCATGATGGTTTAGATGAGTATAAAATTCTAAAGCAAATCACAAGCCCAACCCAAGGCAACTGAGTCCTCAGCTTCTGATTACACTGGTTTCCTGTTTCCTTTCTACTTTGGGACTCCAAGTTATTTCCTTTAATTAGCTGCCAACGCAGCTTCACTTTTAAAAGGATGCTTTGGGTTATTTTTCCAGCATTTCTGTGTTCTAGGAGGGTTTTTCGTTTACTCTGTCATATCTTCAGAAAGGGAAGCTTTTTTCCTGTGCTATTCATTTCAGGGAATGACTCAAGAAGGGTGTTGGAATTGATTGCCATCTTCTACTCAGGGCGTATCTGATGTCTCTTGGGTCAGGGTCTGTTCTTGATCCTGATCACACAGTATAAACACAGCTGCAGAGACTCAGGGCACGGTGGGCATCAAAGTGGGAAAAGGGAAGAGCAATTGCCGATGTTACTGAGCACTCATGCGCCAGCTTTGTTCTATTTGTTTTACATGTATTAACTCATTTAATCCTCACAACAGCCTTATGAGGTATCATCCTCAGCTGACAGATTAGAAAACTGAGGCATAGGGATGATAAGTAACGTGATTAAAGTTCCCCATATAATAAGTGGAACAGCCAAGATTTAAACTTTGGAACTGTCTTCAAAACCTAATTTCTCAACCCCTATGTCACATTGCTTTACGAGAACACTGAAGTGGAATCTGAACTCCCGGATTCACTGGACTGTACACTTAGCCACTCCCTTTTCCCCATTGGGCAAATTATGGGTCTCAGTTTCTTCTGTTAAACAGGGATAATTGTCATCCGCACTGTACAAAGCAGGTCTTCAGGGGCAGGACACACAGAAGCCGTTGGCTATCTCTGACCTTGGCATGAAGGATACTGTCCTCCTCTCACTTCATGCAACAGATACCTTTGGGTAGGACTGATTCCCAGATGGCAGTGGTGTAGGGGGATAGTGTTGGACTGAAAGTCAAGAGAACTGGGTTCTATTCCCAGCTCTGTCACTGAATTAGCATGTGAGTGCTATCAAGAGATTTTTGACTAAGTTGGGAAAAATTTCCTATCAGTCATTCAGTAAATATTTGAGTGCCTACTATGTGGCAGACACCATGCTAGTTGCTAGGAGACACACATTAACTTTATTGGCTGAGAACTGATTTCAGGCCTCCTGTGTGGCAGAAAATTCTACCATGGAAGCAGTTGGAATGGACAATTAGGAAATAATAAGGTTTTTGTTCTCAGACATGGTCAAAAATATCAACCGGACCACTGTTGGTACAGATCCTGTTGATGGGGATGACTTTGTAGGCCCTTCTGTTCTGTAATTCTGTGACCTCTGACCTTGGTCCCTTGGCCTCGGTATTCCCATCTGTGAAATAAGCAGGTGACTCTAGTTGATCTCTAGGTCCTGCCCATCTCTTCCATTCTGGGAACCTGGTTCTGCGAGATATAGCCTGGATGTCTGGATTTCACATTTCTTTACCCTAAACCATATTTGGGAACTCTTAGGGCTGGGCTGGCTTAAGTACTGTTACTGCCACTACAGGGCCCATGGCAGACATTGCTGATCAATTTTGGCACTCCTTTGGGCTGTGCCCAAACCCTCGTAATATTTTTTTTATAATATATATTTTTATTGATTTCAGAGATGAAGGGAGAGGAAGAGAAAGATAGAAACATCCATGATGAGAGAGAATCAGCTGCCTCCTGCACGCCCTCTACTGGGGATCGAGCCTGAAACCTGGGCATGTGCCCTTGACCGGAATTGAACCCAGGACCCTTCAGTCCACAGGCTGACACACTAGCCAAACCAGCTAGGGAGAAACCCTCCTAATCTTGACTGGGGCTTTGCCAGGATCTGACTCTTCATTTTTTATCCCTTGCTAGAGCATGGCCAGTGCAGCGCGGGAACTGGTCATCCAGCGGCTGGGTCTGGTGAGGAGTCTATGTGAGACTGAGGAGCAGCGGTTGCTGGAACGGGTGCATGGCGAAGAGGAGCGGGCCCACCAGAGCATCCTGACGCAGCGAGTGCACTGGGCTGAGGCTTTGCAGAAGCTCGACACCATCCGCACCAGCCTGGTGGACATGCTCACCCATACCGATGACCTCCAGCTGATTGTAAGTCAAGCAGGGGTGAGGGCATGACCCATTGGCCAGTCTCTCCAAAAAGTCTGAAAACGTTGAGAATGTTTATTAGTTGGAGGTGGGTGGATAATGATAATTTGAAGCAGGGATGAGTCAGGGGAATAAAATTATATAGATTTTTAGAAATATATTTTTATTGATTTCAGAGAGGAAGAGATAGAAACATCAATGATGAGAGATTTTTTTTTTTTTGCACCTGGTAACTATTCTTTGAATAGTGAGCAGATATTCATTGAGTGCCTACTATGTGCTAAGCATTGTGCTGTGGAGTGGAGTTGCAGTATACAGCTGTCAGTGACTCACAGCCTTATGGATGCGACAAATACAGAAACTGATAATTAGGGTATGCTGTGGTAGATGACATTCCTGGGAGCTAGAGACCCCACAAGCCAGACTCAAGGGGCTCAGGGAAGGCCTCCTGGATAAAGTGACTTAGAAGCTGATGCCTGAAAGATAAGAGTTGCAACTATGTTAAAGGAAGTGGGGAGGTGGAGAGATAACTCCATACCTGAAGAATTGACAAGGAATCCAATATGAAAATATATAGCTCATCTTTAATCCTACCATCTAAAAATTACTATGATTAATATTTTGGTACCTATCCTTTCAAAGTACTGGTATTTTAAATAGATATCCAGATATCCACAGTTTTAAGGGACATTGTGACATCTGAATAAATATGCCAAGCAGAGAAACGAGAATGTAGAACAACTGAGCTATCTGTACCACTGCAGTTCAAGTAGGACAGTTTCCATGACTGCCCTAGATTGTGCATTCATTCAGTCACACAGCTTCCATGGACAGAGCACGTTCTGTCCCAAACGCCGGGACAGTCACAATGGAAGATTCAGAAAGGGTCCCAGCCATCTAGTTGCTGACAGTCTTGACGGGGGACGAAATGTTGGGTAAATATGTACTTGTCCTGAAGTGTAGGTGAAGGAAACTGAGGACACCATGGGGCACAGGGGGCAGAGTGAGTCATTCCGAGTGGGGAGTGGGGAGGAATGCGAGGAACCCATGCAGTTTTGTGCTTTGTCTTAAAGAAGGAGTAGAATTTTTTATCCTAGAGTCTCCGTCCCCATGGAGCCCTCCCCGTCAGTTGAATCTATTCAGATCTTGACTGCCTGCTGGGTTTCTGGTGCCAAGCCTGATTCTGTTTTCTTTTCTCACAGCAGAAGGAGCAGGAGATTTTTGAGAGGTGAGTCTGGTCCCTGATTTGCTTGGGCTGCCATGGAAACCATGGCCTTCGGGCCTCTGAATAGTTCACTGCATTCAGGCTCCGCTGCCCCTGGGGGAAGCCCAGGGTGTGCAGCTGTGAGTGGCTTCTCTGGAGCCGGCTCGATGGATGGGGCCTTCCTGCTCCTCGCTTGGAGAACTGCTTTGGACCCATGTGTAAGGGAGTGAAATAATTACTTATTTACCAGGGGCTTGCCACAGTCTAACCTTATCCCATTAAAAACTGTACAGCCACCCTGTTGGAGGGTTTTACCAGCCCATCTACAGATGTGAATGCTGAGGCTCAGAGAGGGGAAGGGACTTGCCCAAGCCCCAGAGCTGGGACTGGGGCCCACACCTGACACCTGTCTCAGGACTGTCTCCTCAAATTTGCATTTTAATTATGCAATGTGAAAAGAATTTCACCAGGCTCTACCTAGGTCCCAAAAGGCTGGGAACCAAGAATCTGAGGAAGTGGCTAAGAGGATGTACATTGCCAGGCAAAGAAATTAAATTCTTAATCTGTGCAGGATTTCAGAGCTGTACTTGAGGAGCACAGCCCTTCTTATCTATTTTTGTATTTAAGTTTCAATGGCAATACATATGTATGAGAGAAAGAAAAAAAGTCCACCAATATAAAACTATTCAAATTAAAAATGAGTCATCTCTTCCCAACCCCATTCTCTAGAGGTGATCAGTTTTAACGGTTAGTTGTATGTCTTTGGGACTTTCCTATGTATAATCGTAGGAGAATTTTTGCCTCCTTAAAAAATATTTTTTTAAATACAGATGGGGTCATTTTTATACTTGCTGTTCTATAATTTATCAGGCTAATTTGGAATCTTTTTGGAAAGTCTGTGAAGTATTCCACAGTATGGATGCATCACATTCATCTTACTGTCTCCTTTTATTTTTTTAAAAGATACATTTTTATTAAGTATATTTTCAGAGAGAGGGAAAGAGATGGAGAGATAGAAATGTCAATGATGAGAGAGAATCATTGATCAGCTGCCTCCTGCATGCCCCACACTGGGGTCGAGACTGGGAATCAAACTGTAACCTCCTGGTTCATAGGTTGACACTCAACCACTGAGCAATACCAGCCAGGTTTCTGTCTCCTTTTAATGTGTATTTGGCTTGTTCCTACTTTTTTCCTCCTATAATCTTCCCACATTTCTGCTAGGCTTCTCTTTTTTCTCTATCTTTATCATCTTCCTCTAACCACAGTCAGTCTGTCTGCAATATCAAGTTGATGTGATTTTTGAAAAAAAGTTTGATCTTTAAATTTTTTGTTTTGAATACTTTTAACTCAGAAAAGTTAGAAAAAGTATTATAATGACCTTTGCCTAGAAATACTAATTGTGTTAACATTTTGCCATGTTTGCTCTTTCTCACTGTCTCTTTTTTCCTATCTATCAAGATGATTGCTCCTCTGTACTAGCATAGTATCTTTTTTAAAAAAATTATAGCCCAGCCAGTGTGTCTTCAGCATTTATCTCCTAAGAACAAAGACATTCTCTTACATAACCACAGTATAATTATCAAGTTCAGAAATTTAATGTTGGTATAATACTACAATCTAATATATTAGTACAGTCTATATCCAAATCTACAGCCAATTGTACCAAAAAAGTTCTTAACAGTGTTTAGTGGTTTCTTTTTGTTGGTTGTTTTTTGTTTGTTTTTTTCCTGGTCCATCTGTTCTCTTTTAATCTAGAATTGTTCCTTCGTTTTTAAAAAAAGAAAAACATTTTTAATGAGTCTAGGACAGTTGTTTTGTAGAACATTCCTCAATTTGAGTTCATCTGATGTTACCTCATGATTGGGTTCAGGTTATGCATTTTTGGCAAGAATATCTCATAAGTGATGTGTTCTCATTCTGTCAAATCAGAGGGCACATGATGTCATTTTGTCCCATTATCAGGGATATCAATTTTGATCACATGGATGAAATGGTGCCTACCAGGTTTCTTCATTATAAAGTTATATCTTTACTTTTGTAATGAATAAGCAATGTGAGGAGGTACATTTTGTATAAATAGCCTCTTTACCTTCAAACTTTATCCCATAATTTTTGTCTGCATTGATGCTAAATTCCTGAATTATTCACTTATTTATTTGCTTGTTTGTTCATTCATTTATTTAGTGTAAATATAGACTTGTGAATTCTTTTTTTATTCAGTGCATTATAATCTGATACTACTTCTACTATTACTAATTTTGATCTTCAAACTGTCCTAGATTTGGCCAGTTTTAGTTCCTTGGGGCTGGATCCTGGATCCTTTTGACAAGTCCCCATTATTCTTTTTAAAAAAATATATATATTTTTTTATTGATTTCGAAGAGGAAGAGAGAAATAGAAACATCAATGATAAGAGAGAATCATTGATCATCTGCCTACTGCATGCCCCACACTGTAGACCGAGCCCACAACCCGGGCATGTGCCCTGACCGGGAATCGAATCATGACCTCCTGGTTTATAGGTGGATACAACTACTGAGACACGCCGGCTGGCCCCATCATTCTTTAAGTACTTTCTTGTGTTCCAGCACAACACAATGTCCGGGATCACCTTGTTCTTTTCCTGCCTCAGGCCTGGAACCAGCTGTTTCTCCAGGGACTCTTGGTTCCTTGTAGTGGGGA